CAGCAGCGCAAATAAATAAACATTCTTAAACGCGTTTTCTTGTGTATTGTAGTTATTTATTTTAGATTAAATTGTGTCTTTTGTCGTTTTTGCGGCATCAGCACAAAGGAATAAAGTCTCCTGGTAGAGGCTCTGAAATYATTTTACTTGCGTTTGTTTGTTATTTTAGATTTGTTTATAGATTTTAGTTTTGATTTTGTAGCAACGCTATTCTTGAAAAAAGCACGACCCAAGCACTCTACAACACGCTTCTACGGTCCACTAGCCACACTAAATTATAGTTTGCAATAATTTAGTTAAATTTAGCAAAATTTAGTAAGAAAYAGTTTTAGCTAGTGTTTCACAGATATATTGTTTGCACTCTATGACGATTGRATTAACTCTCGAATATTTCCTGAACAATCAGTCATATGGTGGTCTAGATAGAGCAGAGTTTAGTTGATTCGAACGTTGCATTTTTCTACAGTGAAGTCGTGAATTGAATTTAACACGTGACGTTTGTAACGGGCGCGCTTCTATTGTTTCAGGATTTCACCATGGTTTTGTCGGTGGACGAGTACCTCGAGTATGTCGGTGTCATGGGTCGGTTCCAATGGTTAATTGTTGTACTGGTTGGGCTGATGATGATACCAGTTACATTCCAGACACTTATCATGACCTTCCTGGGCTTGGAACCTGAATGGAAATGTGTGAACAGCAGTATAATTTGCAACTTTACACGTAAGCCTTCCTTTTCCATTCAGTTCTCATCCTCGGGAACCCAGGGGTAGGATGGGAGTGAGGAACGAACGACAGAAGATAACCCCTGGGTTCCCGAGGATGTTCAGTTCTATATGATAGTTTTGACTTTTTATTGTATTACAATAGTAAATCTGAATCGACTCCTTTTAACTGCAGTTTTTTTTCTCAAGTTTTTGCTTTTGGCCTTTTCTTATTTTCTCCAGCGTCAATGTCTAACGTTTGGTGAAGAATCACATATAACGTACTGTGAAAACATTTTGCGTTATGTATGATCGGAAGCAAAACTAAAAGCGGGTTTCCATTTTTTTTAGAAACGTTTTCCATGAGTGGATCCGATCCCAACCGAAATTTTCGATGCAAAATTCCACGAAGCGAGTGGGAATTTACCAAGGAATACAATTCTATAGTGACTGAGGTGAGTACATGATAACATTTACTCTTCGTTTCTCTTTTGTTTTTTAAAAAATGCTTTACGTCTTTTGCTCTGCTTTGTTAGTTTTTTTCCCATTTGCTTTGGTTGATTTGCTCTGTTCTTGCTCTACTCCATGATATGTTATTCTTTTTTCTCTGCCCTACCTATCCTGTTATGTTTTCCCATTTCTGCACTCATCTCAAATTCTCCCCTGATATAAACTGCTACTTGCATACGTTTACTATATCCTATACTTACTTAGCTTTCAGTGAGTAAACATGTAATACGGACTATTAATTTGCCATTCAGTGGGATTTAGTATGCGACAAGTCATCGCTTTCGTGGGCGACCACGTCGATCATGTTTACTGGGTGGCTGTTTGGTAATGTGTTGTTTGGTATCATGTCGGACAAGTATGGTCGCAAGAAGATCTTGTTCATCTCGTCGTGTATGGTGTGTTGGTTGGCTTTCATCAGCTCATTCATCCCATATTTTTGGCTGTATGTCATTTTTAGGTTTTTTATTGGATTTGGCTTAGGTGAGTGTTGTTTTTAATTCATAACGGAAAGGAAATATAAAGTAACTACATTTTGTACAGCAAGCATTTCTCTGGTTCGTAGATATAGTCAACTAAATCGACTTTTTGTGTGTTTCCTTGGAGAGTTCGAGGCCTTCATTACCGGCATGCTTCGCTTTAGAAAATGGCGGCGCTGCACATTGCACATAACAAAACCATCTGAGAGGTTACATAGTCTAAGTTAAGACCGAAGTAGAGCATTTGAAGGCAAACAAGTAGGACGTAACTTTTGACCCCGCGACGTTTATCGACGTTTTATCCAAGTTGCATCATATCTGCATGTATGCAATATGGGGATGTTTTTACTAAAAACATAAGAGATTTTTTCACCATATTTTACTTCCCAGGTGGTTCCATTGTATGTTTATTCATAATGGCTACTGAATTCGTTGGTCCCCAAAAGAGGGCCATGGCAGGCACATTTTCTTGGTACTTTTGGACCGGGGCACTCATGCTGATTGCCCTACTAGCCTACCTTATAAGGGACTGGAGAAAACTTTCTATAACTACCTCGTCACCTGGAATCCTGCTCTTTCTTTTCTGGTTGTAAGTTAAATACATTCGTAACTTTGTTGAATTGCTATCTAGCCCTTGATGCGGTATCCATATTTCTAAGAAATCGTTTTGCAATAACTAAGTGATTACATTTTTTCAGTTGCATTCCAGAATCTGTACGGTGGATGATGACACACGAAAAAGAGAAAGAAGCACAAGAAATTCTTAACAAAATTGGAAAATTTAACAAAAGGACAATTCCCGAAGGAGAAGAACTCGGACTYCCTCACGGACAAAAGTTAGCTGGTCAGAATGCAAACTTTTTTGAYCTGTTTGGTACACGATCCATGACAAAAAAGACCATAATCTCTTGGATATCATGGTAAGTTAAAGAACGTTAAACAGTATTATTTTTGAACTGTTGTGTAAAAAAGTTGGTGAAACGTAAAAAAGTGGAAAGTAGGATGATTTAACGTCCGAAACGTCAGTAAGTTGTTTCACCTACTTTTTTGCGATGTTAGCATATATCTTTTTAAACAACTGTTTTTTAGAAACACCGACGCAGCTCATACTAGTTTACCCCGCTAGATTCCACCATTTTGTTTTTCAACTGTGTTTTTTTTTCGTGCCTTCTTACTGCTTTCAAATCAATCCCAAAAGACACTCAAACAATGCTGACRATGGGCACTAATKAAATCATCTTGTACTCTTCTCCAGGTTTGTCAATGGTCAGGTGTATTTTGGCGTCTCKCTAGGCTCAGTCCTTCTCGGTGGTAATATGTATCTAAATTTTTTCTTGACGTCACTTATTGAGTTACCTGGCAACGCGTTCGCTATTTGGGCAATGGACAAGTAAGTTGCGCCATTACTACTGTGTTGGCAAAAACAAAACATCCAACATATTGTATTAGTTATGTTATTGCAAGTATAATTTTTTCAAAAAATTTTTAAAGTTGTACTTACAACTTCTACAATGGTAATTTTATTGACGATTTTTTTGTAGATTTGGTCGCAAGATAATAGTAGTTGTTGGGCTTATAGTAGGAGCCATTGGTAACATGTTAGTAACGGTATTCCCTGATGAACCAGAAAATCAAGGTAACGCGGTAACCGTAGTTAGTAGATGAAGACAGTCTTTCCTTAGTCCACCTTTCCTTGTCTTCCATTCCTTGACCCATCCAACTGTCAATCATCGTTCATCTACCCATTTGAAATCCCTCTAATGACCATAACCCATTCTTCCACTTCTCACCAAGTTATCTGCCAGGAAGGAGACGAACAACTCATGCCGGGTTATTTTGTTGACAGTTCGACTATCCTTGCTAACAACCGGTTTATTCACACATGCATCCATCTATATGCCGTTTACAAGCATGTTCTCGGTGTTCAAAGTTTTATCATAAATCCGCCTATCCTTTTTACTTCTCCTCACAAAGTATTAAAGCGCATTTCTTCGGTTATTATACTAGATTCCAGCAAGTTAAATAGTATATATAATTCAATGTTTTTCTGCAGTGTTATTTACTGTTATTTGCTGTGTTTTAAAAGGGCAATAGGACGTCATATCACACACTTGGCTTGCAAAACATCATTGTGCTGCCTTTTTATGAAGTTATGTTTTTTATTTTCAGGTTACGCAATTGGACGTATCGTCTTCGCTCTTGTAGGAAAGTTCGCTATCATGTGTTCCTTTGACGCCATATTTGTTTTTTCGGCCGAGCTTTTTCCAACAGTCATCAGGTACTTAGGAAAAGATCTTGTTCTTGTTCTTGAGAGAAACTGGGTTACCTGTGTATTTCAGTAACCACTAAACTAACACTAAGGAAACTGAACGGAAGCTTCGAGAAGTACGTAGTGAAGTTACAACACAATAGATAATCACTGAATAGTAATAATAATAATAATAACTTTAATAGCAACTCCTAAAAAGGCTTTTCAGTAACTATTTACAATAATGTAATAAATAATATAATAGATTAAATATAAAATTTATATATAATGTGTTAAAAAATTACAAGGTATAACAATAGTGATGTGTATTTATAATGACTAATGTATATAAGGTATCTAGATATATGCAAGCACATGAAAAGAGACAGATAACATAATGTAGATTTTCCCGTAAAACGAAATAGATATATTGTGTCTAGTTAACAGAGTACGTAGTCTCCTACTGACGCAAATTTCGTCTGTTAGAAATATTGGAATGGGAAGCTCATCAGCCGCTGGAAGACTTGGAGCTATCACTGCTCCATTTGTAATTTGGCTGGTAAGTTCGATTCCAAAGTCTTAACAAACAAAATAGCACTGATCAAATCAAATCACATTACAATTCTATTTTTCTTCAGTCCCGATTCTTTGCTCCGCTACCTTACATTATAATGGCTGTCGATGCTTTTATCGCGGGATTCCTGTGTTTGCTTCTTCCCGAAACCAATAAGGAACCGACTGCGGAAACTTTGCAACGTGAAGATTCTGAGGAGGGACTTGTTGCTGATTTACGACCTGACGGTGAAGAGCCTTTAGAGGAGTTAAAAAAAGAGAAGGAGGAAGACCAACTTCTTGACAAGAAAAACACAGTAGTTTAATTTTTAAACTTTATGTAATTATACGAAGCTATGAGCTACAATCGTCTAATAGTGAAAACATAGTAGTGAAGAGGGGATCGCCTGAATATATCTTCATTATACAAAGGATCTCGATCGATTTAATGCCCCTTATTAGTGAAAATAGGCAGTGTGCGAAGCGACGCCATTTTCTAAAGCAAAGCATGATGGGAAATGTAGTTCTCGTCGGGTTTTTGGAATTACTTTCAGCCGCCGTATAAAAGAAAGAGAACTGGTGTCGCTGCACCGCATTGCCTGTTGGGTAGTACTAGTTAATCATTTTTTTAATAGATTTTTTTTTTGTAAAGTAGA